TTTTTAATTACCACTAAGTTATTGACAGTTCCGATCACTTCTCTTATGGTGAATATGTCGAGCAATGCTTGTGTCGGGTGTTCTCCCACACCATCGCCAGCATTGATGATAGGTTTGGTCCACTTTCTTGAGTGCGCCACTCTATATACGGCTCCTTTCTGTGGATGTCTCAACACAACTACATCGCTGTAATTAGACATCACATAAACTGAATCCTCAAGAGATTCGCCTTTTTTCACTGAAGAGGACTCTTCGTTGAGGTATATAACAGATCCGCCCAATCGTTGCATCGCTGCCGCAAACGAACAGCTCGTTCTTGTGCTCACCTCATAGAAGATCGAAGCCATGACTTTGCCCTTCAATATATCGGTTAAATGAATGATCTGATTGTTGTCTCTTTCTAACGGCCGGTCATTAACGACACATAATCTCATTTTATGGGCCAAATTGAATAACTCGTGCATTTGTTCTCTATTGAAGTCGTCGATCGACAATATGTGCTGACCGTAAAGATTTTGCTGACCGGTCGGCGGCACCGGAGAGAGCGCTGCACTCAACCGAACACCAGATGACGGACTGTTGAGTAATACTGAAAGTGGTTTAAGAACCTGTGTTTGTGAAGGAATTCCCAGTTCTTTAAACATTTCTGAATATATTTCTGTTGTCTGTTGTATTCGTTTGTCATTTCCTTCTGTTATCCTTTCATCGGTTGCATTGCTTTCCATTAAATCAAAACCAATTGTTGTCTCAGTTTGTGTTGAACTCAGAGATACTTGAGATACGGGAAGATTTGAACTGAAAATATTGTGTCCAAAACCGGCCGACACTAAGACTCTTCCGTCAACGAACACCACTTCATTTCGAAGAATAACTCTCCGAACTCTTCCGAAAACACTTCTTCCCGCAAATGGAGTCCAACCGGCCTTTGAAAAGGGCATCGCTTCGGGTATTGTCCACTCTTCGTCTAAATCCACTTCAATATAAGTGTCCTTTTGGTCCGGAATATTGAATATCTTTTTTGGATTCCAATACAACTTTTTCATCAAATCATTAATCGATAATCTGTTCTCTTTAACGGCTGTTAATAGGAGTGGAAGAGTTGTCTCGAGGCCTGGAAAACCCGGCGGAGAATTTGGTCCAACTTTTTCGGAGCTGAGATGTGGCGCGTGGTCTGAGGCGAAGATATCGATTACATTCAAGTTATCCCATAATGCCTTTTGATCTCTAAGTGACACTAAGCAGGGCTTGACAGTGGATCGGTGCTGACCACCCATTTTGGGGATGTCTTCTTCGCTAAGGAACAGATGATGTGGTGACACTTCACACGTCACTTTCACGCCTTTCTCTTTGGCAGCTTTAATCACGAGAATCTCTTCTTCTCGCGCCACGTGACAGATATGTATTGGTTGGTCGTAGAGATGGGCCAATGATATGATGGCAGCAGTTGTCTGTCTCTCCGCGTGGGCACAAATGGGTATATTCTTTGGCCAATTTTGCAAATGTTTTATCCAATCAGTCATATCAGGCAAACATAAGTCTCCAAAAGTATTATTTAAATACATTTTCAATGCAAAGACGCGTTGATTTTGAGCTAATTTGGCCACGAGTTCAGAATTGTCAGCCGTTGCCGCCAAATACAACCCGTAATCGCATTTAGCGCCGGTTGCGGCCAAATCGGACACAAGTGTATAGTTCTCTGCGTTAGTGATCGAAGGCTTTGTATTCGGCATCTGTTGTACAGAATATTATAACACATAATATGAATACAACTTAACAAATATATTGGTGTAATTATAACTCACGACTCCAATCAAAGTGAATCCACCGGCGAGTGCCGCTCCCGTCCCGCTTTGCCTGAAGTTTGACACATTTACTATATTTACGACTCAAACAATTTCAAAGTTAAGCAATACATACCAGTCCTCCTTATGACTATCGCCCGGTTCTCTGAGGTGTACGTGAATGTCTATAAGACCCGGCAGTCGCACAATCTTTCTGGCGGTCAAGCAATATATTCTTTGGCCAATTTTGCAAATGTTTTATCCAATCAGTCATATCAGGCAAACATAAGTCTCCAAAAGTATTATTTAAATACATTTTCAATGCAAAGACGCGTTGATTTTGAGCTAATTTGGCCACAAGTTCCGAATTGTCAGCCGTGGCCGCCAAATACAACCCGTAATCGCATTTAGCGCCGGTTGCGGCCAAATCGGACACAAGTGTATAGTTGTCTGCGTTAGTGATCGAAGGCTTTGTATTCGGCATCTGTTATACAGAATATTATAACACATAATATGAATACAACTTAACAAATATATTGGTGTAATTATAACTCACGACTCCAATCAAAGTGAATCCACCGGCGAGTGCCGCTCCCGTCCCACTTTGCCTGAAGTTTGACACATTTACTATATTTACCACTCAAACAATTTCAAAGTTAAGCAATACATACCAGTCCTCCTTATGACTATCGCCCGGTTCTCTGAGGTGTACGTGAATGTCTATAAGACCCGGCAGTCGCACAATCTTTCTGGCGGTCAAGCAATAACTCAAACAATTTCAAAGTTAAGCAATACATACCAGTCCTCCTTATGACTATCGCCCGGTTCTCTGAGGTGTACGTGAATGTCTATAAGACCCGGCAGTCGCACAATCTTTCTGGCGGTCAAGCAATCGATGTGAGTCTTGACGGCAGGTCTGCCATCAATTAGTCTCAACGCCTGAACTAATAGTTTAGTGCACTTCACGTCCGATATAAGTGGCACCGAATAATCGACTGCAAACCTTCGCGCGTAATAACCGATTGTCGACACTCTTCTGGCGCCTGTGTTTCTCATCGGCAAATTGATCACTAAATCAAACTCTTTAGTGGACAGGTATTGCGCGATATCATTGAGTCGACTTCCTTTGTCCTCATCATCGAAAGGCCATTCAACCGCTTCCACTTCAATGCCTGCATTCATACAATGCAATCAATTATAACAACTTTTTTCAATACTGCTATAAAACTATTGAAACAAACCCTTTTCGTTATAGAAATCAGCGGTTCCTAAACTTCCAAACAATTTAAATCCCATTTTGGCTAAAGTTCTAGAAAATTAATTTTAATATTAATTGATTGTATTTGAATTGTAATAAATAAAACCTAATGCTGGGCAAGAGTTCCTCTTTTTGTCGGTGCTGTCCAATGGAAAGCAATGCCCTCTTCTTAATAGGGATACGAAAACCAGTGGAAAGCATTGCCTTTAGATATGCTTCGTATCTATTCTCTCCAAAACAGGCCACTTCTCCAGTGCTGGCCATCTCTACGCCGAGCGTCACGTCTGCTCCGCTGAGTCGTGAGAACGAGAATTGGGGTACTTTTACGCCAACTCTTTTGGAGTTATAAAAACTATTTCGAGACTCGTTTCCAGGGATTGGATCAATTGGCGTCACTTTAACTCCCATAATAACTCTTGTGGCCAAAGCAACCAAATCGCAGTCCAATGTCTTCGACACGAATGGAAAGGATCGGGAGATTCTGAGATTGCATTCAATCACTTGCAAGTCGTCGTTCTTAGCGATGAGTTGCATATTATAGGGTCCGTTCACTAACAGCTCTTTGCCAATAGCTTCGCATATCTTCCTAATGTTGGCCAACGTTTTGCTCGTCAAGTCTTGCGGTGGAGTGACAAGAGTGGCGTCACCCGAATGGACGCCAGCGTTCTCCACGTGCTCTGACACAGCCATACATATGAGTTGTCCGTCTTGTGCCACTGCGTCCACATCTATCTCTTTTGCTTCGGTTATGAATTTCGATATAACCACCGGATGTTCGTTACAAACAGCCGTCGCTTCTTTCAAATAGTTTTCTGTCAAACAAATTATATTATTATAAATTTTTGACATTATTTCCATATATTTACCCAAATTTCTGGCAGAATTGGCGACATTCATGGCCGCACCCGAGAGGACATATGACGGCCGAACAATACACGGATATCCGTTCTTTAGACAAAATTTTTTGGCCGTTTCGATATCAGAGACGAGTTCCCAAACCGGTTGACCGATTTCTTTACTGTCCAATAATCGGGAAAATTTGAATCTATTTTCGGCGTTATCTATCGATTCGGGAGAAGTGCCTAATATTCGCACTTTTTGTCCGAATAAATCCATAGCTATATTATTAGGCAGTTGTCCGCCCATACTTAGGATTATTCCTTCCGGTGCTTCGATGTCGTAGATCTCCATAACTGTCTGTTTAAAGAAATAAATGGTATAAAAAGGATTCAAAACAATAATTGTAAATCCATTTTACCTCAAAAGAGATTTCTTCGAAATATAGTCGGTCACACATATCATAGTCTGTGCTCACAGTCTCGGGGTTACAGTTGACCATAATTGTTGTTTTGTTCATCTGATTTAGTCATTAAACATGTAAGCAGTCAATTAAATGATCGATCAATTTTGGAGAGACAAACCTTTTTGAGTTCCTGAACACATCCAACGGCACAGCAGTCGAACTCGACTGAAGAGCCAATACGATAGACACCACTGCCTAAAACCATAACTCCTCCGCTACTGCACTCAATGTCAGTATTGCACGCATTATAAGTCAAATATAGATAATTAGTAGTTGCGGGCCATTCGGCGGCCACTGTGTCCACACGTTTCACAAAAGGTT